CTTTTTTGTAACTATTGGACACCTTTTCATTATCCTACGCTTTTTCGTAACATACCTCATTCAAACACAGGATCATATAATTGTACAACATTATTTTCTAAATTTTGCATCATGTGCTATGTACATTTACTATTTTTGAGTTATGGCTACTTCTGAATTGCTTTAAATGTTTAGTTTTTTATTTATACTTTTATTTTATATTCATCATCTTTTATTTTGTTGTTTTTATTTGTTTTGTTGTATCTTACTAAATGAGCGTTACATTGAGAATCAAAACTTATATATATGCTTGCATACATGCATCCTCACATCTTTAGCGACAAATGAATTAATAGTGAAAATTCGTGTCATTTTTTTTTTTAAATTCGACGCTTTGCTAAATTTTTGAAATTTTTTTCATGCTATTTTCATACAAATGATATTGATTGAATTGCGATCTATCTAAAAGACAATATTAAGAGCTAAAACTTTCAAAGAATTGTTTTTTATCAATTTGGAACCATTTGAGCTCTTGAACCAAATTCGAAAATGTCCATATTAAGGACCACCCTAATATATGTATATATAATATATATATATATATATATATATATATATATATAGGGTAGGAAGGGGCACAAAGGTTCAATGTCACTTTGAGTAATTATATTGGAACTAAACGAATTACACATCACAACAAATTCCACATATTCAACAAACAACTTTCTAACTATTTTCAGTAAAGCTCCCAGCTAATTCATTATTGTAGAAATGTTTTTTTCTATTTTTCAAAAAAAAAATCACCCGGTCATTTTTACCCCATAGGCGGGGTAAAATGGACAACCAAGTGGCAAACATATCTAATGTGTTATTTTTAATTTTAAATGGATTTTACGAAATTTACCGTAACATTTTTTAAAAAGATAACACAAATATTCATCAGCAGAGTTGTAATAACTATTTATTAAATTTATCTAACATTACAATATTGCAAAATTGCTTCTCTTTACTTAGTTTACTTTTTTATTCTACCGACGTGTAAGCTTTTATAGAGATTATGTGAAAAAACTGTTGAATCTATCTTATAGATAGCAATCTATTATAAAAAAAAACAATTAAATAACGTACACTTACTTAAAAATTATATTAAGATCTCGTGAACTAAACAGTGCTAACCACCAAAAAAAACTAACAAAAGGAAATACTTTTGTTGTGAATTTTTGAACATTGCCGTTCTTCTGGCGATAGCATCGTTTTAAGAAACAGGATTTGGTTGGTTATACTTCTGTTCCCCTCTACTTTCAAATATCGTTGTTAATTTTTTTGGTGTTCGACCTTTTTACTTGCGGATTTTTAACCCCTACTTTACCCTATATAGATTTCATTTATTTTAGTTTAGTCGCTGCATATGACGTCATTAAATCTAATACCTTGTAATCAACAATTTTGACTATTTTTCCTAGATATCTATTTTCTAATTTCTAAGTAAAGTACAACCTAAGCATGTAAATTATAATATATCGAAGTAGTGTTTATATTTTGTAAAAGATCTTAAGCACTTAAATACTATTGGTAAAAATATAAATAATTATTAAAATAGATAGAAATGGTTATTTTTTCTGAAAAATGGTGTATTCAGTGTAACGTCATAAAATTACATTCTTCAAACATATAATTTTATATAAAATCTTGTAGTTAATTTTTTAATTCTCTTTTTTGGTACGACTTTTATTTATAATGATCAGAGCAATTAATATTATTTTATTAGTTACTATTTAAACAAATATTAGGTTGTCAAATATCTCCCTTCCGCCTTTTTGTATTATAAACCAAGAGCAAAAAAGCGGAAGGGAGATATTTGACAACCTAATATAAAACGCGAGTAATTTACTACATGCCACAAAAGTTAGTGGATTTTTTTCTATATTAGATAATATATAATAATAATAATATAAAAGGCGCTTCTCTGTTGGGGTCATGAGAACGGTGGCTAACGTGCGCTCGCGGCTTCATGTGTTACGATGCGACGACTGTCGGGGATGTCAGCAGCTAGAAGCTTTTATTGTTGTTCTGAAATTTAAGTCGCCCATAAGCAGATGTTACGCGCAGGGGTATTAAAGAGTTTGGGTGCAAGTCGATAAGTCACATGTTTAGTAATGTACAAATTTAAAGTTTTGTGAAAAATTATAAATAAGTAAAATAAGGATATTTTTTTTATCTGATATAAAATTTAAGTTTTATTATTCGCGATTGTGATATATGAATACACATATGCATTTGATATTTATGAATATAAATATATAACTTATAAACGAAATGTTTTCGAATTGTTTCTTATCTATAATATATTTCTTTTTTCTGCAATCTGTTTTTTTATGAATAATCATCCAACTGCTAACTATAAATACATTACAATATATACTAGAAGATAGTAGCAACACCCAACGGCGTGTCTACTAGATATAATCTATGATAAATAAAAGTCAAATTTAATTCCAATTTTGTAACATAGCATTTCATTCAGAAAAAACGACATAAACTCTAAAATTATCTTTAAGTACAACTATTTCTTATTTGGTTTTGAATTTTATTTGTCGCCTAATGTTTGATAATAATATTTATTTATATCATGAGATATTTAATTTATATGCGAAAATAGATAGGCGTACGGTAGTGCGGAGCTTAACGGTCCGCGGGTTAAAAGGTCCACCACCGATATTTTAAAAAAATAAGTTAAGAATTTTTTAACAACAATATTTGAAAGTAGAGAGCAAAAGATGTATAACCAGCCATCACGTTGATTTTTACTACGTCACTATTAGGATATAAACGGCAATGCTTTTGAAAATCCATAACAAAAGTATTAGTTATTAGCCTGGTTGTGAGGACTGTTATTTAGTTTGCGAGACCTGTATATAATTTTCAAGTATACGTTATTTTATTCCTTCATAAGATGTATTGTTATTTTTAAGTTAGATTCAACGGTTTATTTTATATATTCTCTATAAAAGCTTACACGTGGTTAGGGGAAAAAGGACCAATTTCATAAAAAAAAGTAAATAAAAAAGTTCACTAAATTGAGAATAGCATTTTCGCGAGATATGAATGAAATTAATAGTTATTCCAACTCTGCTGATGAATATTTATAGCTATTACTTCATAAAATTCGTTCAAAATTAGAAATAAGGCATTGGATTTGTTTAACGCCTGTGCTAATTTACCCCGCCTTTGGGGTAAATAGGACTAGTTGACAATTTAAAAAAAAAATAGCGAACAAAAATATTGTTTTATCATGATGAATTAGCTAGGTATTTTAAGAGTGATATGTAGAAAATAATTAATTGTACAAACAAGTCTCTGTTTAAAATGTTTTATTGGCAACATCATCTTGATGGCAAAATAAATATCTCAAAATGTACTAAGAAAAATGTATTAGAAATATCCATGTGTTGACAAATATACTTATTATATACAGCGGCGCAGATATTTTCTGAACTCTCTCATAACATTCATTGCTCATAAGAGTTGTTTTTACTTTCCAATAATATTTTAGAATGATCTACGTAATATCTGAATTGACACTTTTGCTAAATTGTTATTTGTTTAAAAAGTAATTATCCGTGTTCAGTGCATGTGGCATTTTGCGTATTTATGCTCGTAATTCTACATTATATTGTCTGTTAGTAGCGATTACATTTTTATTCGTTGGCAGTTACAAGGTAACTTAACGCTTGACGGCGCATTTTGTCGAACAACTGTTACACAGCAGCAAATCGATTCAGCGTTGCACATGACCTATAGAGCCAAACAGTTCGGTTTAATTTTTTTTAGCCAGAACAAAAGTTAATCCATGTGTTTCGGTTCCAATGGACGAACTTTTGTCTAATTCTAGACGCAAGTTCGCCTGCGCGATAGTTTTATTCTGATAAAGTATTAGATAACCAGAAAATTCAAAATCATATGAAGAAATTTCATTGAATATTTTTATATAAATCAAGTTGGATTCAAACTGACCAGCTGGTAAAAAAGTACAGGATTGTTGAAATGATATTGACAATGTAAATTTGATTAATGTTTTTTTGAGAGCAAACTTAGGAAAAAAATCTATACCAGGTCTCATGTTTTTTCTTTAAAAAAAAATCGCAAGTTTTATGCTGGTAAATACAACAATTTTGCTAATGATTTCATGAACTTCGTTTAGATATTTAAAAATAATTTTAAGGCTTATTTTTACCATCTCTAATTTGTCTAATACGTTATCCAAGGGAAATGGAATTAATTACTAGGAGAGAACTAAATGTGGTAAAAAATAAGTTTTTTTTAAAATTGTGATTGATATTTAAAATATATTCATAAAAAATAAAATATATATTATGTATTTGTATTATACTTTATATTTTATATTATATATATTCATGAATATTACATATATATACATACATATATATGTAAACTATCATCATATCATCATACATATATATATATATATATATATATATATATATATATATATATATATATATTAGGTTGTCAAATATCTCCCTTCCGCTTTTTTGCTATTGGTTTATAATACAAAAAGGCGGAAGGGAGATATTTGACAACCTAATATATATATATATATATATATATATATATATATATATATATATATATATATATATACATATAATGCACGGGACATCAGAATTCATTTTAGAGGTATGATTTCTTCAGCAAAGTATCTCATTTTGATCCCTAGTATCCGAAAATCATATGTGCCTATGCGATTTTTAAATCGACCCGCCTTAAGACAAATTGGACCTTTGTGCACTGCCCTACCCTATCAATATTAATGTAATATATATATATATATATATATATATATATAAATATAAATATAAATAAATATATATATATATATATATATATAAATATAAATATAAATAAATAATATATATATATATATATATATATAATTGATTGCAACTTTAAATATGTTAGAATAATAAGTGTTTCATTAAGAATAATTTTTATACTTCCAGGTAATTCTAGGTGATAAAACGAGCGCAGAAAGAGCGTGCAAAGAACCAAATCCCATAATCGACGGCAGAAAAGCAAATGTAAATTTAGCAATACTGGGAGCCAAGCCACGAGGAAATGTTGCAGCAGGTGAATTTTTATTTCATTTATTTTTTTATTTAATTGTTTATACTCACATATATCAATTACATTTTGGGAGGTATCGATTACATTTTGAAATTGCATTAAATTGTTAGTATATTCCGTAATTCTTCGAATTGTTAATATCTGTTTTATTGATAGCGAGGACGGTACAATTTTTTTTATGGCCAAGATGCTTTTATTTTTTTTGTTTCAAGATGCTTTCATTTACCAATAATTCAACATTTACAAATCCATTATATAGAATATTGTATGTTCCTGAAGTGTATAGAAAGGTCAGCACGGAAATATAAGTGTAGATAAACATGATAACTCAACGAAATGTTTTCAGATACTATTATATCCTAGACTATTTTTCAAAAGCAGTTAGAAACTATTAAAATTAGGAAATATATTTATTATCCACATATCCAGTATAAATACTATAGAACTGAACAATATTTTCAAATATTTAATTTTTTCGATTTATTCACATCATATTTTTGAGGATTCTGAGGAAAAAATATGATTTTTTTCATCGGCCGGCCGTGTTTTCTGCAAGTCTGAAATATCGAGTGTAATTATTTAAAATTATAATTTTAATTAAATCAGAATTATGTTTTCTGTCACTTGTTTTTATACGTTTTAAAAATACAGCTGTGTCGATTGAATTAATAAATAGATCAGATAATTAATATAGTTTACTATAAACTAAGCAATTAATTATATAAATTATAACCTAAAATCGAAGAAACTCAGTAGAGGGTAAAAACACGACTGTAACAGCTTTATAAAAAACGTTCTTTGCCATTTTTAGCATGGAAGAAAAGGTTAAAATAATATAATATTGGAGAATTTTATTTAGATAAGAAAAAAAGAATATTATTCAAAATTGATGGCACTACAGTCATTTTCGCGAGGTTTTGCTTGGATCTACTTTTTATTCGAAATTTGGATCTACAAAAAGAAAAAACTTATTGTATGCAATTATAGCTAAATAAGTGCGTAGGGGATTTTAAAAATATTTATAAACCAAAATTTACATTTTCGTTACCTTAAAATCAAATTGCAAGACACAATAATTAAATATCATTTTAATAATATATTATTTTATTTGTGTGATCTTATTTATGTAATAGAGCTTTATGTGTATGATGATTAATTTCTTTTATTAACTTTCCGTAGGGCAAGTTATAGTAATCGCAAAAAAATCGAAAATGAAATTTTTTATATATCTTTACGTTTCAAAGGTTTCTGAACATTTTGGCATACCTTAGAAAAAATGGATGTATGTGTGTGTGTGTGTGTGTGTGAGTGTGTGTATGTATGTATGTATGTATGTATGTATGTATGTACGTGTGTTCGATTGTATGTGCGGATACAAATTTTCGTCGACGATTTCGGGAACACGGATCAACCGATTTGAATAATTCAAAAAACATTCGATTCGTATTGATAAGGAGACGTGCTGATTAGTTTTTGGCGCAGGGAGGTCTAGCCGTTCCGCAGATACGGGGCAAAAAGTGCCGAAAACGGTAACTCAGTTTTTAAGAGAACGGAGCGTCCGATTTTAATAATTCAAAAAACATTTTACTTATATTGACAAGGTGAAGAACCGATCAAATTTTTATAAAGGCAGGTCTAGCGGTTTCGGAGATCTAATGAAAAAAGTAAAAAAAAATGCCATTTGGCGGTCAAAAATGATATTTAGACTTATGCACATCAAATTATCAGATATTTTATAGAGATTTTAACAATAAGTATGAATTTGGTTTACAGTCCTATGGGTTCCGTACCAATGTTTACGCGTTAGACGGCGACGCGGCGCTTACGCGCTTTGATATTTCGTCTTTATGCAGTTAAAGCAGTACGATTGCTTTGAAAAAAAGTTTAGATCTTCCAAAATATGTCAAAATAAAGAATTTTTTTTTTTTTTAATTTTTTTTCCAAAAAAAAGTAATTTTTGGTCCAATTTAAAGTTTCTCAAAAATCTTATTTTTTCAAAAATGTTAATAGTTTTTTAAAAAAAAAAATTTGGTACGGGAAGTTCCAGCAATTTGCCTCAAGGCACGATGCCTTAATTGCCTTAAGACAGAATTCCACTTAGAGCTAGTTATTTTTATATTTTTTTGTATCGGACGTTATTAAATCATAGACTTTATAATACATTATTATAAGGCATGTATTGAAAGCTCTATGTATTAGATTCATTTTACCATTTTTCTGTTCACTTCTTCGTTATCATATTGTATTTGTTTTCTCGTATTTGAATTTGTATCGACAAGTGTATATATTTCTGTTTTGTAAACAGTATTTACAAGGTTCTATAATTCATCATTTACATCTACAAATTTCCAGGTAACTGTTTGCAAAATAGCACTTTTGAGTCTTCGATTCCTATCTGTTAGATATAGTAAATGCGTTGGAAAATGGAAAAGCGCTCATATTCCGCGAACCGCTATCACTTGATAAAGATCGTCAGCAGATCTATATGCGTCCATGAGATTCAGTATTCCGATAATTATTTTGGAATATCATTGCAGTATATATTTATGTATATTATTTTATCAGTATTAAGCATCAGCATAAGAGAGTGAATCATGGCATTCGTCCGATGTGGCATGACAGGTTTGCGTGCCACATATGTCAAACGTAATTGTTTATTTGAAGGGTTTCAAAAACTTAAATGTGAATCCTTCATCGCGTATGATTATGCTTTGTTGTCCGTCCGTGTGTCACATATTTGCTTTGATTAAAACAAAGGAATTCTCTCGACGCTTATTGTCAACGCGGCCATGTATGTTACTACTTAACTTCGCAAGCAAATTCTGCCAAATACATCATAACAGAAAGCACTTTTGGCACGAGTGAGCGGACTGGGTACGGTTGTGCCACTTTTCATTTTTGATTAGCCCTAATTTTGTTAATTTACCAGATATCTGGGAGAAAAGTAAATTAAATGGTGATTTGAACATTTGTCTACGACGTACCCTCTACGTAGAAATACTGAAATGCTGTTCTTAAATACAATGTGTTAGTCATTAAACCAAATCATACAAGAAAAGTCAGTGGCACAACCGTCCACATCCTACTGACTTATATAAATATTGACTTATATATAAATAAGAATAAATCTTTGTGAATATTATTTTTTACAAAATAATACATCACATTATTTTATTTCCTTTTTGAGAATTAATTATACGTCAGGTAGTTTGATTAGCATACTATTACTTCTGCACAATTATAAAATCATAATTGTGTAAAAGTTATAAGATAATACTAAATATTTTTTAGCCGGTTGTATACCATTGAAAGAGCTCATTTACGGACAAACATTATCGTATTCAGAATATAGAATACCAAATAGCATTAATTTAAGACATTATATACCCTGAAAGTCCTAAAACTGGCTGCGAGACGAGAAAAAGACCACTTCTTTTGACCCAAATCTTTGTATTAGTAAAAAATCTCAAGCAAATATCTGCATATGTTAACAGATTTAGTACCAGTTTAGGCAAGTCGGATATGACAAATCCTGTGAGACAACTCCACTCGAATGCACTCCGAGGGAAGAGTTGTATCCGGAGTGATAACTCCGGAGTGAGTTACCAATCTCTTATATATATATATATATATATATATATATATATATCCAGTGGCGGCGCTAGATCATTCGTGGGCGTCGGCGAAATTCGTTTGCGAGGCCCCCCTTTTTTGCCAGTTGCAAGTTGACTAGTGGTACATGGCATCGTGCCTAAAGGCAAATTGCTGAAACTTTTCGTGCCGTAATTTAAATTTTTGAAAAGCTTTTAAAAAATTTGAAAAGTGAAAGAAATTGACTTTTTTTAATTTGAAATATTTTGTTGAAAATTTCGAACTTTTTTTCAAAGCAATCACGTTGCGTTAGCTGCTTAGAGACGAAATATCGAAGTGCGTAAACGGCGCGTTGCAGTCTAACAACTCACTATTAATTAAAATCTTTATAAAATATCTGATAATTTGATGTGCATATGCCAAATGGCTTTTGTTGTGCTTTTTTACTGGATTTCCAAAACCGCTAGACCTGCCTTCCTAAAAATGTAATCAGGGTGGCACTTTTTGCCCCGTATATTCGAAACGGTTTATCCTGCCTTTGCCAAAAACTAATCAGCACGTCTTCTTACCTTCAATACATGACAAATGTTTTCTGAATTTTTCAAATTGGTTGATCCATGTTCGCGAAATCGTCGACGAAAATTTGCCAAAATGTTCAGAAATCTTTGAAGATATATAACATTTTTTGTTTTAGATTTTTTTCCGATTACTATAACTGTGTATGAGATTTATTTTTAATCAGATAAATACATCAATTGAAATAGACATTACACAAGTTAAAATAAACAAACTCTTCGGCAAAAATGGTTTGTTCTCCAGCTATTAAAAAGCACTAAAATTAAATAATTATCGCAAAAAAGTTTCCCTTTGCCCAACCATTTGATTAGTAAATTTTATTATATTAGTGGTTAATTAGATTTAAAAAATCTATGTTCATACTAATTTGAGTGCACAAATCCGCACATCACATAGTAGGTACACATGGTCTAAAAGCTCGTCCCATTATTCTAAAATTTAATGAGTTTTTGTAATTAATCATTTATCGTAGTTCCATAAAATTTATGTTAGATGAAACTAACAAGTTTTTGAAAAAAGATTTTTACAATAAATTACGAAGAAACTGTGCGGTCGATCTTGACGAAAAACAATTCAGGACGATCGCCAACTGAAAACTTTCGATCCGTTTTTGAATTTTTAAAATTCGTTCAAAAATGTCAAAATGTCGTTTTTTTAAGACGCTTTAATTTTTTGTCGACGACATCAGAGCCGATCAACCGATTTAAAGGATTTAAAAAACATTCGATTTGTGTTGATAAATTGTCAAAGGCAGGTTTAGCGGTTTTGGAGATACAAAAAAAGTTTAAAGGGTTATTAATTTTATTTGAAAGAACTGATCATCCCAATAGAATGTT